AAAATAAATAACAAACTCAGTTTGAAATTTCAGTATCAAATTTAAATGTTATTTATTGGAATTTCTTATTAATTTCCTCAAATGTATTTCCCACTGTGGTAAATTTTAAATTGTTGCATTGTCATATTTGAACCTTTTGATATTTATTTATTTATTTTATTTCTCTCAGTTATTACTATCTTTATATTTTCCTACAAAATGAAAACAAAAGTAAAAATTATTCCGAAAAAAAAACTACAAACAAATCAACAATATTAATTTCTCTACACCTACAAAACATACGATATGTTGCTGAGATATGAAAAATTACAACAACTAAAAACATTATCTTTGCAGTACATCCGCATGAAATCATAAACTAAACAAGATTTACAAGCGAATAAAAATAATAAAAACAACTGTAATACAGCACAATTGCAACCAACAAATAGCAACAATGATGATGCATTAAACACCCAAACAAAACATGATATATTGCAGCATACTTCCATCATCAACTTCCCTATTTATATCTTATTACTGTTGTTGTTATTGCTATAATTGTTGCTTTAGTTTTATAATATCTATAAGCTGCAACAAACCTGCTGTTAACGCTGTATAACTGTTGCAACAGATGCTTGGAATTACAACCAACGTCGTCATCAACATCATTATGATGTTAATGTTACATAGAAGTGGTTTTTAAAACATCATTAAACACATAAAACAAACAAGACCCATTCATTCATCCATTCCGCACAAGCAAACAGCAAGTACAAAGTATAATATGTTTGCTTGCGCCAAGAAGCTTACGAATAGTGTTGTTGCAACATTTGATTTTTCTCTGGCCTTCTTCTTCTTCCTCGTATGTCTCTGGTGGTAGTAGTAGTAGTACTCTTGGACTTTTCTTCAAGCGGTTTTCCTAACCACCAATGAAATCGAAAGTAATCGTATAGTTTTTCTATAACTACGAGTCTCAGCAGCAAGTATGAATATTATAAGTATTTTTTTTAAGCTTTTTATATTGTTGTACGAGTACTTGCACACAACTTATGTTTATAGTTTAGTTTTGTGATCATCTACGTTATGCACTCTCGAACACCTTCTCTTTCATAGAAAGAAAAAAATGCGGCACGTACCACGCTACAAAAACACACCATAAACCGAAACAATATGAAATGGATAGATGGATGAATGAATCGATGAATGTTGTTTTCATTAAGCTAGCGCTTATAGCATGTTTAGAGGATTGTGAGTGGATGGCAAAGGTGTGTTACTCATTGGGTAGGTTCAATTTGAGCGATATTTTAAATCCTGGGCTGTTAGATGACCAAGAAGTTTTTCTGACAATTTGAAAAGATCTTTGCAACAGGTTGGTCCAGAGCGGATCAAGCGGAAGATTCTAAAAGGCACTAACGACGCAGTAACTACGAACTAACGAACGAACGAAAGAACGAACGAACGAACGAAACGAACGAAACGAAAGAACGAACGAACAACGAACGAAACGAACGAAACGAACGAACGAACGAACAAACGAACGAACGAACGAACGAACGAACGAACGAAACGAACGAACGAAAAACGAACGAACGAACGAAACGAAAGAACGAACGAACGAACGAAAACGAACGAACGAACGAACGAACGAACGAACGAACGAACGAACGAACGAACGACGAACGAAAAAGAACGAACGAACGAAACGAACGAACGAAACGAACGAACGAACGAACGAACGAAAAAACGAAACGAACGAACGAACGAAAAACGAAGAACAAACGAACGAAAACGAACGAACGAACGAACGAACGAAACGAACGAACGAACGAACGAAACAAGAACAAACAAACGAGAACGAACGAAAAGAAGAAAGAACGAAACGAAAGAAGAACGAAAGAACGAACGAACGAACGAACGAAACGAAAGAAACGAACGAACGAAAACGAACGAACGAACGAACGAAACGACGAACGAACGAACGAACTAAACGAACAAGAACGAACGAAACGAAGACGAACGAACGAACGAACGAACAACGAACGAACGAACGAACGAACGAACGAAAGAAAAGATACGAAGAAAGAAACGAACGAAACGAACGAACGAACGAACGAAAGAACGAAAACGAACGAAACGAAGAACGAATAAAGAACGAACGAACGAACAGAACGAACGAACGAACGAACGAACGAAAGAACGAAAAACGAACGAACGAACGAACGAACGAAAACGAAAGAACGAACGAAACGAACGAACGAACGAAAACTGAAACGAACTAAAACGAACACAACGAACGAACGATACAACGAACGAACAAACGAACGAACGAAAACGAACGAACGAAACGAACGAACGAACGAAACGAACGAACAAACAAACGAAGACGAAACGAACGAACGAAAGAACGAACGAAACGAACGAAAAGAACGAAGAAAACGAAGAAACGAACGAACGAAGAACGAACAACGAACGAACGAACTAACGAACGAACGAACGAACGAACGAACGAACGAACGAACGAACGAACGAAAAACTAAACGAACGAACGGAACTAACTAACGAACGAACGAACGAACGAAACGAACTAACGAACTAACTAAAATAACAACGAACGAAAACGAACGAACGAACTAACGAACGAACGAACGAACTACTAACTAACGAACGAACGAACGAACTAACTAACGACACAACTAACTAAACTAACTAACTAACTAACTAACTAACTAACTAACTAACTAACTAACTAACTAACTAACTAACTAACTAACTAACTAACTAACTAACTAACTAACTAACTAACTAACTAACTAACTAACTAACTAACTAACTAACTAACTAACTAACTAACTAACTAACTAACTAACTAACTAACTAACTAACTAACTAACTAACTAACTAATTAACTAGTTAAACCTTCATTTATCAGGTGATAAATTGAACTTTCAGATGTCATAAAAGTTGACTTCGCCCTGTCAACTCCTCAGTTCTCTACACAAAAATATTTAACAAAAATAATATTTGGTCCATAACAAATTTTTTTAATTTTTTTTGAAATTTATTACTTATTAAAACGCATCGTTTGAGAGGTATTTCTTCAAAAAAGAGGTCTACGGGGCACCCTACTGGAAAGTTGGCCTACACATCTTAAAAATACTTTCCTATTTTATTAGGATATATGAATGTTTATTAAAGTGCCTTGAAATTACATGATAATCCACTAACCATATACATACATATGTATGTAAGTAGCTTACCTTAAAAGTTTTGGTTTATCATGAAAAATTTTCATTAGCACCACTATTGTTTTTCCGATGCTACTACTGCTGCTGCTGCTGGAAGTTGACTATGATAGTATTTATTACGTTAAAAACATTACGTTATGAGTATGAGGTTTTTCAGCTGTTGCTTTGTTTTGTGTCGCGTAATATCTGCTTATTATTTTTCTTCTTTTGTTTCTTTTTTTTTTAATAATTTTGGAAGAGGCATGCAACACTTTGCTCAGTTTTTATTTTTGTAGCTGATATTTTTTCCTATGTTTTCGTAATATCAATGGTAGTAGTAGCGGCAATTGCGGTGATGAAAAATTCACAAAAATAACAACAAACAACAACAAAAATAATAATAAGAAAAAAATCATTGTAGTTCAAATTTGTAATCGTATCCCAGAGTTTGTTACAGTTGCTTACCATCTGTTGTCGCGTAAACAACGGTTAATTCCAAAATCGAAATTAAAAAAAAATCCAAAATATTTGTTTAATAAATATAAACATCCTAATGGCTGTTGAAAGAAATTTGTTTATGGTTTATTTCTATGGAAAAATACTTAAATAAAGTTTTTTAAATGTAATATTTGCTGATATCGAAAGAAAGTGAAGGTGTTCGTTCAATTGTTATTTGAGACAAAAATAAATGGCAATGAAAAATAGACCTTTAAGCCAAAACTAAAATGTGAACTTGAAAATTTTATTTATAAATAATAACAATTATTATGAACTATAATATTTGTGTTAAGGACTGAGATGAGTTAAACTGTAGATAGTAATTTCCGTTAAAAATTTGAAAAGTTAAAAATTTAAACAAAATTTGAATTTAATACAAAAACATTTCTTAGCAAAGAACTATATGAAATATTAAATTTATTAAATATTAAACAACTTTCTATAAAAAAGCTTTGAATATATCCTGAAGATTTTTTTAGTTTTTAAAAATATATTTTTAAGTAAAAATATTTTTTTAAAAAATTTCAAAAAATCTCTTTTAAGCATTATTCTTGATTTAAATAGAATATTGAAAAGCTTAGTAAACAATTAAGTTTTTAAAAAAAGCATTATTGTGAAAAGAAACATTTCCTAGAAAAAGCTTATTGTTTTACTCACTCTAGTTTAACTGATCTCTGCCCTCAAATAACTGTGACAAACAAGTGCTTTTTATTGCCATCAATATAATTATAAATAATTCTTTTTCGTTGGCAGTTAGTGGTTAAAATATTGGTGTTGAATTTTTGCTAACATAAAAAAGACAAGAAAAAACAATAAACAACAAAAACTAATAGCCAATTATGTAATTTAAAGTTAACAACAGGCTTAACTAAACAACTGACTGAATGTTCACCCAGTGAAAAACCGACACACGAGCTCACACACTCCGTCACTCATAAAATCACAACAAATGATTAATAGCTTAAAGTTACACCCGAAAAAATATCCATGAAAATTATAACAAAAAAAAACAACAGTAAACGAAAGAAGGAGAAAAAAAATAATAATATTTTTTCAACAAATTGTCTATAATTAGAGTAGAAACAATAAACAAAACGCTATAATTTATAAACAAAAAAAATCACAACTGTTAATACAATAAAAACAAAAGTTTCAAATTAAAATTTTCAGCTAAGAAACGAAAAAAAACTTTAAATTTGAATATGCATAAAAAAATAATTGACGTTGTGTTCTGTTTAACAAAATAAAAATTTGCAAAACAAAATTATAATAATAAAAGTGAAAATTATCAACATCATATTTCACTTTCAATTTCATTTTTCCTCTGTGTGTGTGTGTGCTTGCAAATATTATAAAACAGTTAAAGGTGTAAAATTTATTTTAAAATTAATGTAATACTTTTTAAAATCATGTGTGTTTTGTGTGACCCACAAACTGTTCGCTCATTCTGAATTATGTTTAAAGATGTGTTTCAACTTTTATTTGTTGTTGTTATTGGGAATTATTGTATTTGATCGGATAACAACAGCATCAGCATCGCCTTCGATTGTATCGCAGTATTATAAAACAAATCAATTTGCAACGGGTAAATAAATTTATTTTACAAATAAAACAAGTAAGAGTGTTATATTCAGATATGCCGAATTTTATATACCCATACCCACCATCAAATCATGTGCCATATATTTCAAGTGAATTTTGGAAAATGATAGTATAGGACCATGAATCGATTATTTAGTTATTTTAGCCCAGTTATCTGTATTAAAGTCATTTTCTGAGGGGGACAAAGGAATTTTGCTTCCTCTAAAACGTTTAGTTTATTGCTATACATCATATACCGGCAGATAGTAGGGTTCTATGTTGAAACGGAAAGTCGACTTTTCGCCATTTTGCATTTAGTTAAAAGTCGACTTTTAGACTTTTAGTAATTTCGACTTTTCGGCTTTTCGATTTTTTTTGACTTTTTGATTATTTTCGAAATTTTTTTGATTTTTTTCCAGTTTTTCCGACTATTTTAGAGTTTTTGACTTTTTTTCCACTTTTTTAAAATTTTCGACTATTTTTGACTTTTTTTTTTTCCTATTTTCGAGTTTTCGACTTTTTCCGACCTTTTTCGACTTTTTCCAACGTTTCGACTTTTTTCGACTTTTTAGGACTTTTCGACTTTCTTAGACTGTTTTTCGACTTGTCGACTTTTTAGAACTTTTCGACTTTTTTCGACTTTTATTTACAAAGTCGACTTTTCGACTTTCATTTACAAAGCCGACTTTTCAACTTTTTTCATAGACTATAGTCGAGTTATAGACTTTTTTGGAACAAAATAGTCGACTACGACTTTTCGACTTTTTTCGACAAAAAGTCGATTGTTCGATTATTCGAAAGTCGATTTATAGAACCCTGCTTTATAGTCCCATAATGAGATGCGAGTGGGATATACATACATATAAAAAATATATATTTTTTGACACAAGAAAAATGTTTTCAATATTTGCGAATAAATGTTCCCCTATTTTTTCAAAAGGGACACAAATTTTCAGCTCTATCGGTCAAGTACCGCTGGAGTTAGAGGGGGTCAAAGTTGGACATTTGGTCATACAGAGTTGTTTTTCAAATAAGTGTATCTATCCTAGTAAAAATTATGTGAAAGACTTTAGATACCCATTTTTTCAATGTTTTCATCTATGTTAGACCTATTGGATAGTAGTTTAGGCACAATTTTTCGACAAGATCGGTCAAGAAATTTCGAAGTTACAGTGGGTCAAAGTTTGCAATATATATATTTCTTCTCATGTAACTTATTACCTATTATTCTTATCAAAATATGTTCCAAATAGTTTAGATAGCTACTTCTTCAATCTTTTGGAAAAAATATTAAAAAAAAACTGTTGACTTTTTTGCAAAATTAGTTTTTTTTCCAATTTGGTATATTTTTTATTTTTGTCTTAAAATAAAGCTTAAATCATTTTCTTTAAGAGTTTTTTAGTTGCATATTTAACCTCAATAAAATATTTCAGATTATTCTAGTCTAGATAATATAAAATATATGTTCGAAGTTTTATTCTAATCGGCCAATCAAAAGTCAAATTTTGCTATATATGTATAAAATATTATATAAATTATAAATATGAAAAAATTATACATACCTACTCACCTTACCAAAAACTGCTTTAATTTTTTTGGAAATTATTGTAAACGAAATCGCTTTGCACATGTATGATAAAGTGTACTATTTCCATTAAAGTTTATTTCAATAATGGTATCAACACTTCTAAAATACTTTCTTAAATAATAACTCAAATTTCATACATATTATACAGGAAATGCATAAAAAGTACCAAAAATGGTACTATTTCATCAACACTGACAAACATTTATTAAACAAAGATATTCCTTCTTTTTTAAATATTACCACATTCAAACAAACAAACATAATATGGCAACAACAACACTCTACTAGTTTTAGTATGCAACAAAAGCAACAACAAGAAAAAACTAAAACAAAATGCAAAATAACATTTTACTAAATTGCATTGCATGATGGATTTTTTTGCTGTTTTTGTACAAATAACTTTACTTTTCGAATTAAAAATATAATTAATTGATTAATAAACATTAATATGATATTTTTGCAGAATTTTATAATAATTTCACACTTATTTTAGTAAATTTATTAAATTTTAATACGACACTTATTAATTTGACACGCACTTCTAGCTGAAACGAATAGACAACTAAAGAGTAGACGTAATAACTGAGTTCAATTAATCTCTCTTAATACGAAAAAACAAAGAGAAATAGGAGATGGGATTGAAATGTTATATAACGAACATGTAGTGCTTTTTTGCTTTTTTCGCTTTTTAAGCGTTTTTAAAGTTTTTTGTGAAAATTGTGTTTTGGAATAAGTTGTTATGAAATATAGTAGATAAATGAGGAATTAAGAAAATGAAATGAAATTTTAATTTGTTTTTAAGAAAATTTGATTGGTTTTAGAAAATTTTCCATAAATTTTTCTTTCTTTAGAAAATTTTTAATAATATTTTTCACTTTTGAAAATTTTTTCTTTAGAAAATTTTCGATAAATTTTCTTTCTTTCGGAAATATTATATAAAATCATTTTTTCTTTCGAAGATTCTCGATAAAATTATTCTTTTTTTAGAAAATTTTTTATAAAATTAGAAAACTTTTGGATAAATTTTAACTTTTTTATCTCTCCTTAAAAAATATTCAATAATATTTTCGTTAAAATTTTATTTTTTGAAAAAATTGTGTCTCTTTAGAAAATTACCGATACTTATTTTACACTTTTACTTAAATTTTGATTTCTTAAAAACTTAAAATTAAATTTAATTTCTTTCAGACTGTGGCATACGACCGCCTAGACGAGAACCCAGATCACAGCCTTCCACAGAAGATCCCAATAGTTCCCGTACCGCTAAAATTATAGCCGGAACGTATACCAAAGAAGGACAATTTCCTTGGCAGGCATCACTAGAACTGCTTCATCCCTCCTTGGGTTTTCTGGGGCACTGGTGTGGTGCTGTACTCATACATCAATATTGGATTTTATCAGCTGCCCATTGTGTGCACAATGATCTCTTTAATCTACCGGTGCCGCCTTTATGGACTGTAGTTTTAGGCGAATATAATCGTGCTATCGAATCGGGCTATGAACAAAGAATACCCATTGATAAAATTGTTTTACATAAAAGCTATCAAAATTTTTTACATGATTTAGTCCTAATGAAACTCTCAATGCCTGCAGATCTTTCAAAAAAGTCCAATATCAGAAGAATATGCCTGCCATTTCTCTTCAACGAACCCAACAATGATGATGAAGAGGAAGAATTGCAGGAAGATCCTGAGGATCCTTTGGCTTGGGGTTTAGCGGAAGTCCCCGATAAAATGGAGAATTTCTTGAGAAGTGTTCAGACAATGAGACGTTATCGTAATGTTACCATACCAAGTATGAAGGAGTTAATGGATTTGAAAATTTTAAATCGTTTAAAGCGACAACAAAATGCCCCGCAAGGCAAATCGGGGAGAAATTTTAAATCTTCACGTAGAAGAAATGATAAAATAATGAAAATTTTCCAATATTCCAATGAATATGATGGGGTGAGTCAGGAAAAACATTATCATCATAGATTTGTGGATAATAATCGTGATTTACCCTATATTGATTGTGTGGCCACGGGTTGGGGTAAAGCCAATTTGACAGGTGATCTAACGGATTTACTATTGAAGACTACAGTGCCGTTGCATAATAATAGGAGGTGAGTAATTTATAATTTATGAAATTAGAAAAATATTATAAAAATGGCGGGAATTTTTTAAACAAACATTTAATTTAAATAAAAAAATTTCCATTTCCTTATTTAGATGCAGAGAGGCTTATGGCAGTTTTGTAAAAATTCACCGTGGACATTTGTGTGCTGGTAAACTTAATGGCAAAGGTGGCACATGTGTGGTAATGAAAAACAAATTCGTTGTATTTTTATTATAATTCTAAATGGAATCTTTCTTTAGGGCGACTCTGGTGGTCCATTGCAATGCCGTCTCACTAAAAATGGTCCTTGGATATTGGCGGGTATAACTTCATTTGGTTCTGGCTGTGCTATAGAAGGTTATCCAGATGTTTACACTAGAACATCTCATTACATGAAATGGATACAAGACACAATAGCTTTTGAATAGCTTTTAATATAAAATAAAACAATACAAATTGTTAAACACCTAAAGTACAACCAAGATTTGTTTAAATTTTATTTATTTTTTATAGCATTTTTATTAAGTTTTAATATAAAAAATTGTTAAGTTTTAAGTTAAACTATTTATAAACTTACATATAATGTAATTATTTTATTGTTATAAAAAAATAAAAATTTGTTGTCTAAATGTTAAATTAAAAAAAAACCCGCCCTGCTACTTAAATACCAAAATAGAAAATTTTATTACATATTTAAGAAAAACTAAAAGACAATCCCTAGAAAATACTCGAATTCCTAGAATGATGTTCTTAAATTTATTATCACAGCCATAAATACTTTTTAAAGTACTAATAAAAAATATAAAATAGAATAGAAAGTGAAAAGTGAGGCTACTATATCTAAAGCTAACTATAAGCAACTATCACAAAAACTACTGCTACTTATATAGTACTTCCTTTACTACTGCTACTACCGCCACTGGACCAATGTAAGCTCTATGTAAAGAATAAAAAAACATAATAACTTCATTATTATGTTGTCATAAACTCATTTTGTAGAAAAGGCAGCAATGTGTTGTTCTTTTTGCAAAATTTATTCTTTAACTGCTTCAGCTTCGACTCTTTGGCCTTTTGTTGGTCTACTTGTGGTGGCAGCAATAACATCAACGTTGTCATCTTCTCCTCCTGCTTAACCATTTGTTCCAATGCCTTTGCTGAAGTTGGTGGTGCTGGTAGCAATGGAACTATACAAACATTTGTCTTATTCATTTTATTTTTATTCACCGCTGCCGCCGCCACTGATGACTCCGTTAATAGAATATTGCATTTTTGTTTCGTTTGCCTTTGCTTGGACGAGGAAACCGTTGTTGAGTTTGGCAACCAGAAGCAGGAGAGCAGAGCAGTACCAACCAGTGACAGACCAGCCACAATTAAGGCAATAATTAGGCCACATTGTACATAAGGACAAATTTTGAAGAGTAATTTTAAAAGCATTTTTATGCCTGGTGTAAGCTCTTCGACACCCTGAAATAACACACAAAAAAAGAGGAATACATATAAAATAAATGTATAAAAAATTTCTTAAAAAAGTAATGGTGAGTAAATGTGGGAAGTTTTATTACATACTATAGTATTCAATTGAAACAAGTTAAGTTGTAATATTTGTCAGTGTATATTGTCTGAAATAATAAATTTCAAAATTGACATGGTCGAAAAATTAATTATATTAAAGTAATAAAGTTTTTTCTTCTATGTCCTTTACACGATTACAAGAGACATTTATAAATTAATACTATTAAAAGAGTACGGTGCAACAAAGTTAAGGGTTTTTATGTGCAAGAACCTGTTAGCACTGGAAATTGTTTGAAACAAGGATTAAATTATTTAAAAATTATAATAGAAATTATTTAAAATATTATTTCTGTTCATGTTTTAATTAAAAAAAATATATACATATTTCACATCGATTGAGAGGTATTCCTACACAAAGAGACAGTTCCTCGGGACACTCCCATAATACGAAGTAGAAATCAGACATGGAAAATTCAGTACTTTTTGATATCGTAAAATAACGCGGTCCCCCACGACATTATCGGTACTTTTTCTAACTTATAAACTTTTGATAAGTAATTCACATACATAATAGTCTAGCCTATAGTCTGGTTGAATCTATTGTATAGTTTATAGTCGAGTCTATAGTCTCTAGTCTAGAGAATACTTTATCCTATGGTCTAGTCTTGTCTAGCTTAAAATTAGTTTGGTACCTACTTTAAAACCTAAAAAAGTACTATTTTTGTTATAAGTATTTTAAAATTTTGACTTTTCATGCTTGATACAAATTATTTAAAATATTATTTCTTTTTATGTTTTTATTTAAAATTTATAAAAAATTAATACGCATCGATTGAGAAGTATTCCAACACAAGATTATTAATAAGGCAGTTCCTCGGGACACTCCCGTATTATTATTATATTAAATAAAAACGCGTTAATAAATATGCCAATTCTAAGAAAATCGCCAAATTGACCTAATTCTCCCACAAAAGCTTACAAAAACAATAAATTTTCTACAGTTCTCCTTTCCCCTCAACATTCTATCATATTTATACATAATTTACATGACATATTAACCTCAAACAAAAACAAAACTACCGGCATTATAAAATGAACAAACAAACATGTTCTCACTGCTTAAAATTATACTCTATCCTTCTTATTGTCCCCTCCCTCCCCACTCAAACTTCTTAATCCATTATTTGCATAATACTAAATTCAAACAAAAACAAAACTACCGTCTTTCAAATGCTCTTTTCTAGGTTTGTTTTTTTTTTCTACTTGCCGCTCAGTTTAATGCTCTCATTAACTACACATACCTACATACTTGCATATATTTGTTTTTGTTTTACCAAATCAATGCAATTGTCATGCATCTTTTCTTCTCTATTTGCTCTTCATTAGTTTAGTTTTCGGTCATCTACATACGCGTGTGCATAAGGTTTTTATCAATAAAAAGAAATCGTCGTAATAATATTAAATTAATTAAAATATAATTGTTTAAATAATAAAAAAAGTGTCAGTTAAATACAAATAGTGTGAAATAAAGTTCTTATTGTTAATAAAAAAGTAATAAAAGTGTTTAATATTAAAAATAAAATGCAGTTAAAATGAAGCATCCATCAATGGAAAAAAAATATGTATTTGCAAATTGCAAAGTCATTCAGTCATTGTCAATGTTGTTAGTTGTTGTTGCTGTCGCTTTTATTTGCCGACAAAGTTTCTTATTGTTGTTGTTTGTATTGTATTATGTTTGTGCACAAGAAGAAGAATAAGCAATTATTAAGCTTTTGTTGTTGTTTTCTTAAGAATGAATATAAAAAAATTTAAAGAAGGAAATAAAAAAGGAAAGCAAATAAAAGTAAAAATATAGTGTAATGAAATAAAATTGAATGTGTTTTTTAAACAAATTAAGTAAAAGAAATATGGCCTGTTTATTGTTGCAATTAAATGTGTATTAAAAGAAACAAGTGAATGAGCTTTAAAATGTTTTGTAAAATAATAAACAAAAAGTGTTGAACTTGACAATTTAAGGACAAATTGTTTGATGGACCGTTCTGTAAAAAGGTATGTCAGTTAAATTGTTAATACAATTTATTATAATGCTTTAATAACGAAATGTTTTATTTATCTGCTCAATGTTATTTAACAATTAAGATGTTTTGTGTATTTGGTTGTTTGAAAGGGTATATAAATTATAAACATTGATTAAATGAATATGCAAAAGCTAATTCTGTTGTCAATCTTTATTACTAAATTAGGTTAATAGGTTAATTATTATTTAGCAGTGTTGGTACAAAGGGGATCTTTTATTTATTGTTGACTTTTCAAGGTCATTATTATGATCAGGAGCAAGATACACAAGCACAAGCACAAGCACAAATAATATGTATGTCATAAAATTCATTAAAAAACGTTTATCATAAAATTAATATTTTTTACAATTACATATTACAAAATTTTACTTTTGAACTACTAAACAGTTTATCGGTTAAGATTGCTCCATCATATCTGGAATTTGAGATATCGTGCCCTGAAATTTTAGGCCTTTTTTGAGGCGTTATAACAGCGTCAAGACATCTTTATTTATAAAATCCCTAAGATCTGAAATATCTTCTTTATTCTTCGAGATATCTTCAATTTAATCTTGAAAACTTATGGTTTGCGGTATTTATACCCTACACTACTATAGTGCGGACTTTCAGTCTTGTTTGTAAATATTGTTTATAATGGACAAAAAATATTGTATCCACACCTATCTAAGGAGGTTTCAATCGACTCCAAATCACTTAACTCGACTTCAGAATGTCTGTCAGTTCGTCAACTTCAATGGCGAAATTTACGAAAAATAAAGTTTTTGTCAATTTATTGTTATACATATCAAGCATTAGATGAAGATAACTCGATGAAGAGAGAAGATATGACAGATGTTTAGCCTCTGTTTTAAAGTTGATAGGATTTTCAGATGGCATGCAATATTTTATAAATAAAGTCTCAAAAGGGTCCAGAAACCGTTTTTTTTTTTCAAACTTCAGGACATGATATCTCAGATTTGGATTCAGCCCGGCTTAATCCTTTAGAAAAGTATACTTGGTCACTGGGTTAAAAATTTGTCGGCCTGTGTAATCTACATGTTGGTTACCAAATTTAGAGGAGAGATAAACCGTAGCCCCTATCCTAGCTATTTCTCCCTGAAAATGTTGTGGGTCGAACAATGCACTTGTTTATATCAATAATTTTCGATTATATAATAATACATTTCAATTTGAGAGAGAGAACTCACAAAATGTTTAAAAATTCGTTAACAAAGTTCAGATAAAAACTGTAATTGGAATTTTGAAACGACCGTTTAAAAAAGCAGACTTTTTTGACCATAGCTGTCAAATACTCGTGTAATTATATATATGTAATTTTTTCCCACATTTCTCATTCAAGTTTTATTTCAGTAAGAGGAATTATAAGGGGGTTAGAATTAATTATGCTCCGATACTCTTAAAATTTGGTATGTTGGTTTCGGTTACTATAAAGTTGGTTAGTTTGAAAAGTTAGTTGGTTTGAAAAGAGAGTTAATGTCTGAAGATTTGATGTAACCTATTGTGCGCTCCTTTACCAGTGTCTAATGAACCCACAACCTCCGGTCTAACAGGTTAGAACATGAACCTCTAATCCACGGAAGGCAAAGCTTGTCTGTGTCGAATTTTATCGTTATTTTACATTTTAAAGTCACTTAAGATCTTTAAGATAATTTTCTGAGGGAATTCTTATATGGGGTTAGAACAATTATGGACCAATTCTCGTAAAATATTGTAGACAGATTTCGGTTAATATACAACTTGTTTATGTCGAATTTCTTAGCTATACAGCAAATTGTAAAACCCATTAGAGTTAAAGTATTTTTCTGAAGAGGACCTTATGTGGAAGGTAAGATCAATTATTGACAGATGCTCCTAAAATTGGCAGAGAGATTTCGGTTTATATTAAACTTATTTATGTAAAATTTTTTCCCTAAGACCTAGTTCTGTAACATAGACCGATTGTAATTCAAAAACTATAGAAACTTTAAATTAGATTGACTACTATTTCTTAAATATTTTTATTTCTTTTATCTCCATTTTATTACCCACAGTTAACCAATCATGTATGTATAATACATAAAATTCTTTAAAAAACTTACAATTTCCAACCAAAATATGGGTAAAACCGTATTACGAAATCTTGTCATTTCACGATTGTATTTCACTTCATCCATTAATAAATTTATTTGAAAACGAGAATGCACTTTCATAGGTATGCCCAATTGCTAAAAATTAAAAAAAAATATTTCAATAAAGTTGCAAAAGATAATATAAAAAAAATATACTTACTGGTTGTATTACAATTTCCGAACCATGTTTTTCTTCGTTAGGATTCAAACCCTCGAACGGTTCCAACAGAGAAGGATCACCATTAAAGAAGTGGGGAAAAGAGATAGCCAAAGGTATATCTAAATAAAAGATAGCGAATTTTTATTTATAATCTTAATGATAAAAATCGTAAAAAACTTACTGTAATAACAGGGCGTTATATTGCCCAAACCCTTTCTCAAGCACTTTTTATTGGTACAAAAACAAGAGGAATCCGGATCATTGATATCGCTGTCGAAAGCCTTTTCATGCAATTTGAAATGATAAGCTTCTATGCCATCAATCTTGCCGGGATGGGAATAAACTATAGGCAAAGTGCGACAAAAGGCTTTACGATATATACGAAAAGTTTCACCTTTGGTAATGTTACGGGGAAATAGAGTAGCATCATAGGTGCCCTGTATGCTATTGCAATTCGTGAGACTGGAAGTAGATGAATTAAATTATTAAACATGTTTTGAATGAAAAAATAAGTATTTATACTCACGTGCTGTTACCATTAGGAGTCCAATATTTAATACTTTTACGACCATTCCAAGTATCTATGGAAAAATCTCTTCTAGACTTATCCGAGGCCTTTTTCGGTTTCTTAGAGGGCAAATGCATGGTCACTATATTATCACCCTCATCAAACATACGCTCCATTAAACCAAATCTTTGAAAATTTATAACATTCGGTATAATCTTTGATGCCAAATACACTAGATTATCTTCATAGCCCCACAAGTATTCATGTACAGACATTTCCAACATGGGCTTTGAATTCAGTCTACGTGTCAATGCACTTATGGCCAATGCAGCAAATGTAGAAAAACCCGAAGCTGCTGATGTAACACCCATGTATGGTATATTTGGTGCAATAATCTTATCCACCTTGGGATCTCCCACAGATTTTTCACGCAAAAACTTTACTATACGTCTGGGTGTGTAGGTTACTGTGTTATTTGAATTGAAGGTCACATTATGATTCTCTAGTATTTCCTGATATACATAAGGACCCACTTCGGCGATTTTCAACTTGGCATCAAGGCCACGTGTAAATGCGTCTAAATTTGTAACATTAAACATATACACTGTGATGTAAACATTTAAAGGTGGTTTCAGCCATAAATTATATAACAAGGAACCAGTTTTTATGGCCAATTGCTAGATCATAGAATAAATGATAACGACAGCGGCAGAAACAGCAGCAGCAACAAGAATGAAAAATTTGTAAAATAAATTTAAGTTAAACGAAACTAACTAATATAACGTGGTAATAATATTCTAGTTTGAAGGCAACGTGTTAAAACTCACGTAATACTTACAGAATCAACAATCTTGGCTACAGGATCTGTACACAATATTACTGCTGCCAATATGGTTAAAGTCATACCCAAGGAGGCTAACTTAAGAACATCTGAAAATGAAGAGATAAATGATAATTACAAATTATTGACAGTTTATGGGTGTATATCTTGTGGCATTTCTTAATGATGTTAACAACAAATTAAACATTCAAAATCATGTATGTGTGTAAGTAGTATATGTATTTAAAATATTCCAGGGGAATTCCCAGGCTTAGTGTAAACTTGTTCTGTTTGTTGATTCTTTGGCACTAGAGGCCTATAATAAAACTATGTATAAAGCGGGTTTATTCTTTAAAATAGCTGTGTTTCAGTTTTAGAACATTTTATGACAGACCATTTAACGAATATAAATGACTTTGTACTCTCTTTTATAGTAGGCTTTCAGCCAAATCAAACTTAACCTTATCCCACTGTTAACAATTTATCAAAACTATTACCACTTCTCATGTTAAACATGCAAGCCAGACATACTCTCAAGAAAAAGTCATAAAAAGTTCAATATCAAGGTGAAAATAAAATTAAAAAAAAACCTAAACCCTTCAATTTCAGGGTTTCTTCTCAAGAAAACAAAGACCAAAAAACAATCCCACGTATTGTATTTCAAAAAATCAGAAAAAGCATCCACTAGTTCCCCCCAAAAAAAAAACTTCACAAAAACAAAACAATGAACCTGTCTTATCAGCAAGTAAACAAAAACAAATATTTAATTAACATAAAACATTTTACGAAAAGTATACAAAAAAAATGATAAATTCTGCACTTCTTCTCACACAAAAAAAACCCGATTTTAAGCCACGTTCCTCTTTTTAAATACAGAAATAAATTTTACAAATTTTTATTTAAATGAATTAATTGTCTTAGGTCCGTAACAACAACAATAACGTTAAAAAACAAAGAATACAACATAACTTAATATAAATATACACTAGCAGAGTTGTAAAAGAATGCATACTTTTAACATACCAAACAGTTTTAGTTAAAATTTAATAATTTTTAAGTGTTTAATAAGCCATTGAATTTTATGACTATTATAAATATTAACTTTTAAACTAATTTGTTGTGTAAATTAATTTATGATCTTGTAACGGAAACTGATTAATTTTTATTGATATTACATCATAAAAGTTAATTTTATGACTTTGTGACACAATATTGCAAATGTTTAATAAACATATTAAAATTTTTAGTAATTAAATGCTTATTAAAAAAAATTATAAAAATATTAATTTATTGAAAAAATTTTTTATGAAATTTGTTTATTTAAATCTTTTATAAATTAATATGAATAACATCCTTATGATAAATAACAAAATTAAAACAAAATTTTTAAATTTTTGTTATAAATTTATTTTTCTTCCTTAAACACTGATCTGCATAAAATTTACCTTTTTCAAAAATTTGTTAACAATCACTGCATTAAGCCTCAATAAAATATATAAACAGGGAACTAGTTTTTATAGCAAATTGGTACACCATAAAATAAATGATGACAAATGCAAGAAAAAAGGGAAAATAACATAGGAAAAAACTAAGAACTTGTTATAATAGTTTGTAGTTGGGACAATGTGATAAAACTCACGTAATATTTACAGAATCTACAAACATTGATCTAGAGGATCACTAGTTCTTTAAACTCATCACCACAGAATATATTATGACAGCAGATATAGAAGATAAAAGAAAAACTAAAAAAATAAAATTAACAACCTATTGTAATAGTTTGTAGTTTGGACAACATGACAAAACTCACGTAACACTTACAGAATCTGCGATCATTGTGGCAGGATCACTCGTGGTTTGATATGACTTAATAACTTAATGCGTAACCAATTGCAATAACAATATAAATACATCATATTTATACCCTACACCACTTTAGTGGGAAGGGTATATTGGGTTTGTGCTGATGTTTGTAACGCATAATAATATTGGTCCTATAAGTATACCAATCGGCTTAGAATTATTTTCTGAGTCGATTTAGTCGATGTCCGTCCATCCATGTAATCAAACTACAGGTCGCATTTTGAAGAAAATTCAATGAAATTTGGTACATGATCGTCTGAGTGACGAAACCTATTGAAAATGGTTATAATCGGTCCATTATTTCACCTAGCCCCCATACAACTGAACCCCCGAAAAGGGCTTGTAAACCTTGTAATCAAAGTACAGGTCGCCATTTTGAAGATAATTCAATGAAATTTTGCACATTATCTTCTATTGTACTAGAAACGAATCCTATTGAAAATAGGTAATATCGGTCCAATATTTGATCTAGCCCCCATATAACTGAACCTCCCAAGTAGGGCTTTTAAGTTCATAATTATGTTCAAAATACTCATATCTCGACAAATAGCTGCAAAACCAAGTTCTATACTAGCCTTCATGACCCTGATGAATTTTTTGATGATATGGCCTCATTTGACCCTAGCGCCTATACAAAGACCCCTTCGAAATATGACTTAAATGTACACAATTTTATTCAACAAAAATGGCTAAAGTATATCTGAGACAAGGTACAATTCAACTTAAATACTTTATTATGAACACTAAATTCAACTTAAATACTTTATTATGAACACTAAATCGCACTTTTTATACATAACTGGTGTAGGTATTATATGGTCGGCATCGCCCGACCATGTTTTATGTTTAAGTCAAAAATTTATAAACCCATTATCAGATAATTTTACCACTTCTTGAAACTTAAATAGCTGAATTTAACCGATATCGGAAAGATCGAAAAATTTTAATTTTGATACAAAAATATGAACAAATTATTATGATTTAATATTAAGATTAAGACCTTGTTGGATCTTCAAATCTTACGATTTGAAATTTTTTTAAAAAAATGATCAAAAATTGCTAATTTTATTTTCCTTGGACCCATTATTATTAAATCTCCAAACTTTGATAGTTTTAAAGTTGTAAATGAAGACCAGGTATGGGGATTTAGACCAGATCACAACAAACCATTAGGCAGATCATACTAAGTGTTAATTTTAGTAATAATGACCCCCGTTTTGATTACACAGGCCGACAAATTTTTAACTATTATTTTTTATTTCATACTGATAAAAAGATGTCAAAAATGTCTTTTAAAATTTGTATCCCTTAATATCTATTTAGGTTTTCAGTATTATTTTTTCCAAAAATTTTTGAAAGCCATTTTTTATACCTTTGGATCCTTACAGAATAAAATAAAAATAACACAAAATATTTTACAATTCATTTGGTATTGTTTGATCAGTAGAAGCACTTTTTAAAACTTTGAAGTCTTTGAAAAAGAACAATGGATCACGAAGTGAAAAACTAAAAACGCAGTTTTTCTCCATTAAATTTTTCGATTCAGACGTATATTATCCGGTTCGTTTCAAATTTTAAGTGTCGGACGATGTAATACTTAACATATTCACAGATTATTATATAATATTTCAGTTCAAAGTTAAGGATATTCTATTAATATACATATAGCAAACAGATTCCTTGTATTAAACGAATTTGTTGCTAAATAATTGAGGTTGTACTATGGTTCGAAGGACCAATATTTTCCTTAAAAGTTTTAAATTTTGTTGAATTTTCCAAAGTTAGTTGGTATTCAAAAATTGTATTAAAAAGTCGTTTAAAATGTAAATTTTAATTCATTTCAAAATATTTATAAAGAATTTTAATAAAGAGTTGGAATTATAACCTAAAAAAAATTAACAAACACGTTGTTAATAATATTTTAATTTATTCATTATTCTTATATAATTTCTTTAAAAACCGGTGACAAAAAAAATCTTTCAATTTTTTAACCGAATTTTTTTTAGCAAAAGGCTTTTTTAACAAATTATTTTTTTAACAAAAATATGTGTTAGTAAAAAAATATGCTATTTATAAAACACACTAATTAATAATGTATTATTCAAATTAAATGATAGAAAAATTTTCAAATATTACAACAATAAGTTAAATATTAAATATGCTCAAACAAAATTCCCAACATAAGAATTAAAATAAATTAATTAAAATTTATTGAAATTGGCATAAATTCTTAAGGAATATATTAAAATTTAGATGAGAAATTCTGGACTATTTTTTAAGCCTATAATTTCAAAAGTATGTATTTGCTTTATTTTAATAAACAAAAAATTTTTAAGGAATTTAGTATTTAAAGATCTGTTAGATACCAGTACGCTTGTTTGTTATACATGGTGTATTACAACTGATAAATGACCGCAAAATTTATTTAAATACAGAGGAAAAAAAATATTTATCAGATTGAATTAAGAAAATAAAAAATAAAATAAAATTGTATTGAAAACCATAACCTTACCAAATAACAGGTAAATTTCAGAGCCAGCATATTAACCCAAACGGTTGGGCGGACAGACAACAAGACACTTGAACAAACGTATAAACATAGCAACAAGTGGACAGACAGACGGACGGATGCATCAATAAATAAAACGTCACAGCTTCATTTAACAAAATAAACTCAAGCGACCGACCAACAAACCCAAGCAACCAACAGATCAATGAACTGACTTGTTGTATGTTTTTTTTTTACGAATATTTTACGTTAGTGAGTGAGTGTGTGCTGTATTTAGTTTGATTTCAATTTTTGTATGCTGTCGTTGTATCTTGAAGTATCAAAACATTAATTTTAGTGTATTTTATAAATGCAAAAAAAAAGACAAAACAAATAAAGAAATGAAATTAAATAAAAAAACCGATTGAATGAATGGTTGGATACGTCGTCATCATCGTCATTATGATGATCAACAATAGACATAAATAGTTGGTAAATGAGTAGTGTATGTAGTAAAGTACGGCCAGAGTCAGTATCAATTCAAAACCAAATCAACACAACTCAAAAAATCATTTATTTCTTTGCGTTTTGTTGATACTTTTTTTTTTTGATTTTACAATTAAATGCAAATAATAATAAAATAAAAATACGTAATTCATCAATGGAAATTTTTGTTATTATTATTATTGTTATTATAATACTTGTATATTCATTCAAAACGATTTTTTCCTTCTTTTATTACGTTTTGGGCAACAGTTT